CGGCGGGCCCTGCACCGCCGCGCGCAGCTCGTAGACCAGGGCGCCGGGGGCCAGCAGGGCCGCGGCGGCAGCCAGCTCGGGGCCGGCGCGGCCCAGCAGCACCCGGGTGCCGCCCAGGGCAGAGACCATCGCGGAGAGGGGGGTGCCCTGGGAGGGGCTGTAGGGCCGGGCTGGCACGCCGTGGGCCGCGCCCGCCTCGCGGAGCGCACGGAGGAGGCTAGCCATGCCCGCGATCTGACAGGGATGTTGGTTTTTTTTTTGGGGGGGGGGGGAGGGGGGGAGGAGGGGGGACAGTGGTTCAATATGTGGGGTGGGGTGGGGGTAGCAAAGGCGCAGGTGCAAGGCGTCAGAAGGCCGGAGAAAACTGGAGGTTCTCAGAAAGCGGCAGGGGGCATGCCTGCCGCCAGCCCTCCGGTGCAGTACAAAGTGGTGGTGTGGACGTGGCCCTCCACAGAGTCCGGGTCACGCCCCACCAACACAGCACCCCTCGCCTCGCTCATCTGCCTCCAGCGCACCCCTGGAGAGTCGGCGTCCATGAGCAGGGTGATGGTGCCGTTGGGCGCCGGGGTGGGGATGGCGACGTCGGGGAGGGAGAGGAGCGCTGCGCGGAAGCTGGCGGCATGCTGGGGCGCAGTGAAGGCCCCGAGGGACTGGTGCGAGGCGTTTGCCGGCGGCCTGTGGAGGGTGGTGGTGGGAAGGGGTGGGATGGTGAACTAACGCATTGGCTGTCGATGAAGTTGGGGCTCGGCCAGGGCCGGCTGAACCGCGACCGCCTGCCGCCGCTCCCCGCAGCTGAGGGCCAAGTTGTGATCGGCACACGCGCTCTCCCCGCAGCCCCCCATGCCGTGGCGTGCTGGATCAGGGAACTCCCGCCCAAACAACCACCCACGCTGCCGGCGCTGTAGCACAACCGCTCACCTGAGTGCCACTACATGCTCCAGGCCCAGCCAGAGGCCGGGGGGAAGGCGGGCCAGGTCGTCGAAGAAGAGCAGCGTGGGCAGGGGCCCGGTCCTATCCCGGCCCATCACCATGCTGAGCAGCGCCCACACGCCCGGCGTGTGGGCGGCGGCCCCTCGCTCCAGCCCCGGGATCAACACCGTGGCGGGCGCGGCGGCGGGGCCCTCCGACAGGTGGGACCAGGCGGCGGCCAGGGCCTCTACCCACGTGCCCAGCTTCTCGGCGGTTGCCGGGGTGGGGTGGTCCAGCACCAGGGTCAGGCCGGGGAGCCATGCGGTGGCCAGGTTGCCCACCGCGCGCGCCACCGAGGCGACGGGCAGCTTGATCAGGGGGAGCGAGGGGGAGAAGGGGAAGTCGGTCCGCGTCGAGGCAAGGCACGTGGCATCGCTGGGGTCGTGGATGGCGTAGAAGCGACTGTGGTGGAACCTGCAAGAAGGAAGGAACAGGGATGCCTTGAAACAGGTACCAGCGGTCCACAGCCACCGTGGCCCGAGAGTGGGTGCCTTCAGGATGGGGGGATGTCAAGGGGGTGGTCACGGCATCCTTACAAGAGGTACGAACTCACGGCCCCCCATCCTTCAAAGCAGCGTGGGCATAGGAGGCCAGAGCCCAATCCACCAACCATATGCTGAACGCATGCGCGGCGTTCTGGCGCTCCTCCACCCTGGTCCCAAGCACTACAGATGAGGGGGTGCAGGTGATGGTCTAAAGGCAGGTACAGCGGCCTCTCGTCACCCTCCATGAGCTACTTATCGCTCTAATCCGGGCAAAGACGGTGCCTACATTTGTCTGGCAGCTCTTGTTGGTACCAGGGCAGGGAGTCTCCGCTCTCGGGGGTGCCCTGAGCTTGTGTTGCGACGAGGAGGAAGAAGGCGGCGAGCAGTGCCCGGCTCCGGCCGCTGCTCAATCCCGCCGTCATGATCGGTTCAGAATGTGGGGTAGCTGCTTATAGCAGGAGAATATGTCCCTGGCCAAGTTGAGGAAGCCTGGCCATTTTGTTGGCGTCCAACAGGGTTTCGGAGGGAATGACAGTTCAAGCTCGTCGACGTACCGCGCTCCTCATGAATACATCAGCTGTAGAATTCACATTCTTTGCGATACAATTGCGCGCACTTGGTGTCGATCACCCTCAACCCCGAGCGCGGGTGGGGTCTCAGCTGCTGTCAGACAATTGAACTCCCATCAGATTGCAGGGAAAACCATACCTCGCAAAGCATCACCACATGTATGCGGGCATGACTGCATGTATCGTTTACATTCCAACGTGTCCTTCAACTCTGGACAATGTACAGCTACACTGTGTTCAGTATGCACGAGGGGAATACACGCCAATGCTAACCTCCTGGATGCCGTGGCCACCGTGCCACGACGAGATGTTGCCGTGCAGATTCGAAACCGTACACGTCTGGTGGACAGTGACGTCCATGGTATAGGCTGCATGATCAGGACGTTGCTTAAGGAATACATGTACCCTGCAGTCACGCTTTTTGATTGCATTGTGCGCATGTTGGCAGCCCTGCAGAATGACGTGTGGGCTGCAGCAAACGGAAAAGAGCTGCACAGGAGGGCCCGCTCCAGAGGCAAGCAGCCCTTGGTGCCTCCAAATCTGTACAACGCAGTCAACCCATCACCAATCATCCACACCGATATCTTTGTGGCATCAAGCATGCACGTGTTCACAGTGACCGAATTGCAGCTCAAATGTGAGTGTGATTGAGAAGCGTGGCCTGGGGCCAGGGTCAGGATCAGACCTGGCCCTTCTGGAGGAGGAGAGCACGCCTCATCCGATCCCCTTTGAGGAAGGCACCGAGATGAACCCCTTTGCAGCAACAGGGAGCCAAGTTTTGGCTCGCATGGTACCTGCCCTTGGGTTACAATCATTCGTCTCACCGACAGGCCACCATTTAGGCAAGCTTGCTTCGGCGTTCTTGCACCTGAGGGCCACGTTGTGTGTGAAGATTCACCCACACCCCGACGGGAATCTTGTTACAAAAACAAACTCCGACCAAGCATTGCAAGCTTATTTCGAAGCGCTATAATTCGACGGAATTTACTATTTCATTGTCCCAAGGCATCCGGAGGATTGGTTCGAGAGAGCGCCCCTCCCATGCGGACCGTCGCCAGCACGGTTCATCCTTGTCACAAAGGACCATCCTCTGTGATCGACTTACAGCGAATTACCAAGCAGCTTATCGCGAGATAAGACCACAACGCTGCCCTTGCAGTGTCACATACCTCGGGAAAAGCTGTAGGTGCCCAGTTTGAGGAGGCTGTATGACCGGCATTCGATTTTGGTGGAGCCACGCAAAAGGGCTGAGACATGCATGAAGTGCATCCAAGGTAACAGTAAAGAGGGATTTAAAATGCATGGGCATTAGCCCTCTGAGCTGTAGTGCACACTGCGCAGGAGTCTCATTCTCGTGTACAGGGCTTGATTACCAGACAACACTACCAAGGTGTGTGAAAGTTCCTATTGATGCCCCGAAACGAGTTCTCGCTATGGAGGAACCCATGTGCTATCCTGAAAACTGCGTCATGCAAACAGGATCTCCCAAACAAAGTCTGGAGGTGCCTAGAGACTCAGGATGTCCACGGAGAACCAAACATCAAAGTTTGAAGAGGCGTGTGCTATGTCATCCAAGTATGTGCTGTTGAGTCCTCATCAGTCAAATGTCGTGGACCCGCCCAAGGGGGCTTTGCCACGATGCGGGACTCGATTCCATCTGGGAACTCATTCTAGTCACACCGGCATGGGACATCAGCCTAGCTTCCTGATACTAGATAATTCGTATCGGCAATTTGATTGTCTTTCTTGCATCTAAGCCAGCGGCCCATGAAGTAGCCAGCCGGGGGTCCGTACCACACGTCATCGACCCTCGACAGCAACTTTAGCGCGACAGAGCCCTCATGCATCGCTGGAGATGTCTGGCGGTCTCAGCCTTGGCCTGTGTTGCAGTGCTACAGGTCCAAGCGCAGGCCGCAGAGCACCAGAGCTTCTTGCCTCTGAGGCGACTGGCTGCGACACCTGTTGAGGCTGGTGACCCGGCTGCAGCCAAGGCGCTCGAGACGGTGCCCCCGGAGTGGATCATCACCAACGAGTCCGCGCCGGGAATCCTGGCCCGGACCGCCACTCCCCAGCGAGAGATCCTGTTCACCACCATCAGGCTGGCGCCCGTGAAGTTTGAAGAGCCGCTGGACATGATTGCGAACTTCTGCTACTTTGTCAAAAAGTCCGGGGCATTGCCCCACCTCCTCATCTTCACAACGGACATCCTCACCTGGCACCGGCTGCACAAGCTGGGGTTCCCTGCCTACCTGGATCGCGCCTTCCCTGCCAGGCCCGAGTACATCTTTGGGGAAGCAAGCAGGCCGGCTGGCACCCACAATCGCGTGTTTGATGTGGAGAAGCACTGGTGGGGCTGGAAAATCCTGGAGCAGGACTTCTTCGCCGTCTGTGAGTCGATGCGGGGTCGAAGGGAGAGAAGTGGGGGGGGGGCGCGTGGGTGGTTGTGGGATCGCTGCTATGCATGCTGAGGCATGTACACGCTGGCGGATGGCTGTGTGTGATCCTGCATCTGCCTTACTTGGCGCCCGTGTCTAACCCAGTCCATGCCCTGCACAGACATGGATGCGGATGCGGTGCCACTGAAGGACCCGTTCCTTGCTTTCCAGGACAACCTGTACGATGTCCAGGTGAGATGAATGGCGGGGGACTGCTGGGATGTGGACAGGTGATCACCGAGCACGAGCGTGGCGGCTGGACCGCTCGGGACCCCCTCACACCCATGCCATGTCCCTGCAGGGTCTCTCTGACTGGGATGTGCCACGAATCCCCATCCAAGAGGACGCCCTTGTCCAGAGCTGCGAGCTGTACTACCTCGTCCCAGACAAGGCAGTGGCGTCAGGTGAGCACTGCAGATCGTGTGGGGGCCTGGCTTGTCGATTGGGGACCCCTGCTCCCCGGTCTGTGTTGCCGGCACCCCAGGACGCAGGGGCACGGCACCTTTAGCAGCCTGCCACTTTTGGTGCCCTGCCGTGCACATGGGCTCAGTGCACACCCTGCCCCATGCTTTCACCCCCCGGGGACCGCCCCTGCGCCGGGGCTCCGGACTGCACCTCAAACCCCAATCCCCTTGCTGAGCGCGCCCCCCCCCCCCCACAGGTACCATGCTGCGGGAGCACTGGCACATCCCCGATAAGAAGGTCCAGCTCTTCTCCATCAACCCTTGCCAGAGCACGGGGCTGTGGTACCTGCGCCCCACCCCCCCCGCCGGGGCCTTCATGCTGGCCTTGGTGCACCGCCTGATCCACCCCGCCACCTGGCACCAGTGGGACCAGACGGCCTGGAACGAGGTCATCCTGCCCTTCCTCTGGGGCACGGGCGACTCGGAGCAGCTGGCCTACCGCATCCTCCCCAACGAGAACTACATCAACGTGCGCGCCATCCCCGACCGCGAGAAGGCGGGCCTCCCGCTGGACATCGTCATCCTGCACTCCGGCGGCACCCACGGCCGGAACAAGGCCCTGGCCTACGCGGCGCGCGGCTTCTGGCACCCGGAGCTGGGCAAGGCGCTGGCCGACGTGCCGGGCGGGAAGCTGGCGCACACCCACGCGGCGCGGCCCGCCTGGTCCCACGCGCGCCCGAAGCCACCCGGCGCGGAGGTTCCCGCCCTCCAGCACCTCACCGACTTCCAGTTCACGGCTGTGGTGGCCGTCACCTCCGCCCTCCTCACCGCCGGCCTCATGCTCGCCGTGTTCAGGGTGGCGGGGCGGGGCAGGGCCGGCCGCGCAGCGCGTGCCGGCGGCGCCGCGCCCTGGGGTCTCAAGGCCGGCGGCGAGGCCCTGAGCCCCCACCCCCGGTCAGGCAAGGGCGCGGCAGACCCGTAGCGGGGTGGCTGGTGCCCCTGGCGAGAGCCATGAGAGGCATGGTGTCGTGGACGGATGTCCGGGGGGGCCCAGGTCCACACCCCCAGGACCTGCGCCGACTGCAGTCTGTCGGTGGGTCTCGACGCGGTCCAGCCGCCCTGAAACCATGGGCTCTCGTATTTCATGACTAACAAGCTGGTACAGGCACTCTGTGAAGCCCCTGTGCAATCGCTCCTCCACCATGGACCCCGCCAATCTCAGGGAAGTAGCCATGCGACCGGCTCGTGCCTCTGACCAGCCCCACCCCTGCTGCGATGTGCCTTGCTGTCAGCCGTACGTGCAAGGTGAACATGATGCTTCTGATCCAGTTCAACTGCAAAATGCAATCGATCTGTCAGGCTGACACCTAGAGTTGAAAATTGCCAGTCAAGGTGGGGCGTGATGCACGCGCCAGTCTTTGCCGCGCGGCGAGGCTGCGCTCCCCTTGGCGCTCGCCTGACGACAGGGCGCATGCAGATGTGGGACCCAATCCCCTGCTTGGGAGCCTCGCTTGATGAGCCTCACATACTTGCTCAGAGTCAAAGTGTCTGAAAGATGATACTTCACAACCTTGATGTCGAGTTTCACATTGTGAGGCGCCCGGCGTTCTGAGGGGGGTTGAGACCAAGTGCCCTGTCAGGTGTAGGGGACTTGGGGCCACTTGACCAAATACCGTTGCAGACGATTGAGGCACCACGGTCCCCGCCCTGTGTCCATAAACAGACCCTCGTCCATGCACCCACCAGCAATAAATGTAACAAATCGTCCGACTCCTTGCTTCCGCGTGGATGGGATGCTCCGATGATGCCTCTTCAATGCACCAGTGCCCGAGTGCTCGGCGACTACCCCCCGGATCCGTCCTGTAATCGGCGCTTCCCAGGTAAAGGCGCGCATCCTGACATTACAGGGTCAACGTCTCTCCATTGACCTTTTGCAAATCTTACCTCGAATCGATGCTTCATTACAGCTGCATGTGGTCGAGCTAGCCTCAGATCATCTGCACTCGAATACCCTTGCCTAGAGTTCCTACACCGGCGCCACGGGCGTCCTGACCTCGCCAACAGCGCGACGTCTCCAGCCTCCTCTGGGAGACCATGCGCTCCCGTGCATGTCATCTCCTGCTACTCGGTTGTGCAGGCATCCTGTGGCAGGTGGCGCGGTGTGCGGACGACACAGAGAACAGCCCCGAGCCAACGCGGAAGACAGGGCCGGGGCTTGGCACCGCCCAGCTCCTGGCCCAGGAGGGGCCCACCCCCGTGGACGAGAACTGGGTGATCAGTAATGCCACCGTGGGATCCATCCTGAAACAGAGGGCCACTCCGAGGCGGGAGGTGCTGTTTACCACCATCCGGCTCCCCGCCACCAAGTACGCCGCTGAGCTGGAGATGGTGATGAACTTCTGCCACTTTGTGCAAGAAGCGGGCGCACTCAGTCACCTGATGATTCTCACCACCGACAACATGTCAGTTGGGGGATGGGGGGTAGAGTCCACAGGAGTTCCTGTTTTTGAACGCCGCCAGCTGGAGCTTGTTGGACGGCGCCCACCTGCTATGTACCGGTAGCCAGTTTGCGGCATACCAGTCTTCGAGGCCTGCCTTTCCCGATGCCATCGCAGGACTTGGACGCGACTCCATGACCGGGGCCTGCCCGTGTATTTAGACAAGGCCTTCCCAGAGAGGCCAGAGTATGCCTATGGCGGCGGTAAGGCACATGACTCCCCAAACCGCGTGTTTGATGTCCAAAAGCATTGGTGGGGCTGGAAGATCCTGGAGCAGGACTACCTGGCTGCCTGTGAGTTGGTGGGCTGGAGGGGCACGGAGTGTGCACAGACTGCTTTCCAATTTCTGTATGTCTCGACCCAGTGCCAAGGCTGAAAAGTGCATGGCTGGCGGGTGACTGACAGCATGCTTTCCGCAGCCCCACATCGGCAGATCATTGCCTTCCCTCTGTGGTAAGCCCCATCGTTCACCATTCCCCGAATTTGCAGACATGGACGCGGATGCGATTCCTCTGCAGGATCCTTTCCTTCCTTTTCAGAACACCACCTACGATGTTCAGGTTGGCTGGGGTGTTCAGGCTGCTGACAAGATGCTGGATTCGTTTTGCTTTGGACACGAAGATTAGTGATCCTGTTTTCTTTTTATCCAAAGCGTTCAGAATATGACAATGACCAGTTATGCCAAAGCCGTTTCACCTCTAGCTGGCCATCCGTCCTGCACCCCACCCCAAAACAGGGCCTGTCAGACTGGGACGAGGTGACACCCCAGGACCCAGCAGTGTCGCTCTCGGGGGGCTGCAAGCTGTACTACTGGATCGAGGACCCAGCCGCCCCCACTGGTGGGTCAGCCAGGGCTCTGTTGACCTGTGCTGCTGCCATCAACGCCGGCTGGCAGCAGGTTCATGCACCCCATGCATCCGGGGGAGGGAGCAGCGATGTGGGACCCCATCAACGATTCACTCTCTCGCCTTCCCTCCTTTCCTCACACGCAGGCACCATCCTGCGGGAGTACTGGAACTTCCCGGACCCAGTGGTGAAGACACACGCGCACAACCCCTGCCAGAGCACCGGGGTCTGGTACCTGCGCCCCACCCCTCCGGCCAAGGCCTTCATGCTGGCGATGACGCAGCGCCTCTCCGCGCCGGCCACCCGCCATCAGTGGGACCAGACGGCCTGGAATGAGGTCATCCTGCCCTTCCTGTGGGGCAACGGGGAGGTGGAACCCCTGGCCTACCGCCTGCTGCCCCACGCCCACTACGCCAACGTGGGGGTGGTGGACAAGCGCCGCGCAGCGGGTCTGCCCGTGGACCTGGTCGTCCTGCACAGCGGCTACCTCCACGGCAAAGAGAAGGCAAGGAAAGGTGGGGGGGGGGGTTATTTGATGTTGTTGAGAGGGTAATTTTGGGGAGGGGTGGTGATGGACCGTGACATTAGGCGTCTGCCGGTTTGGATACTGTGTGGGCCACTTTCCCCCAGGAGCATTCACTCTCGGCTGTGGATACTGGGGGGATCATCCACTTCCCTGCTCCCCGCACCACCCCTGCACCGAGGATCCCACCACCACCACCTTCTCTTCCTCTCACCCTCGCTCGCGCAGAAGGAGGCGTACGAGAGGATGGGCTTCTGGTCGCCATCCAATGCGACCAGGAGCAAGGGCACGAGGCTGACGCATGGCCAGGAGGGCGGCGGCGGGGCCAAGGGCGGCGCGGCCGACCTCCCCCGCGCCGCGGACCCGCTGGGCCTGGCGGCAGCCTCTACGGTTAACAACGGGCCCCGCCCAGACCTGGCGCACGGCGCAGCGGCGCTGGGCCTGCTGACCGTGCTGGGCGTGGTGGTCACGCTGGCCTTCACGCGGCGCCGACGCAGCGCTGCGCTGCGCTCCTCGCTGCTGCCCACCAAGACCGGGTACGGCGCCCCGACGCCGAGCAACTTGGGCAGCCCCTCTCGCTCCAACCACATCAACAGGTCGCCGCACATCGCGGCGTACTGAGCGATCTGGAGTGCGGGCGGTACCACCCCGTACTGCTCTGCACCCGCCCCCCTACGAAGAAACCATGTCCTGCCATGTATACCTTCCCTTTTGCACCCAGCGCCATACTTGCTCTTCCTGCTGTCGCCAGCCGTGCTGCTCTCTGTACCCCCCTCCAGGGTCTGCTTCCATCAAGTTTTACACGATAGGAGGGCACTCAGAGAAGGGGCCGCTGGGAGGGGTTCCTTCGCCCCGCCCCTCACCCTGCAGGCAGGCGGGGTTCAGGCGCCCGTGCTCTTGCCCAGCTGTGCCAGCAGCTGGACCACGTTCTGGCTGGTGATGAACACCATGAGCGCGGAGCCCAGACCCAGCAGCGCCAGCAGGGCCCCTCGCCGTGCGGCGCCCAGCTCCGCCCACGCCAGCTTCACGTAGAACAGGGCTGTGGCGGTTGAGCGCGGTAGGGGGAGCGTGAGTCTCCTGTCCGGCGCTTGGCGCCGTGTGGGATGGTCTGGAGGCAGCCTGGGCACATGAAAAAACCATGGCATGCCCAACTCCAGCCTCGGATTCTCCCCCCCTGTCGAGGCCGGGACCCCCCCCCAAAAACCCACTGGGCATGAGGAGGGAGCAGGAGAGGGAGGCCACCCCGCCGACCAGCGACATCACGCAGGCGATGGAGTCCAGGGCCGCGTAGCTGAGCCCCACCGACGCGGCGCAGAGCAGCATGCGCAGCGTGGCCAGCACCGCAGGCCGGAGCTGGCCCTGGGTGGCCACCTTGGAGGGGAACATGCCGATGATCAGGTCCTGGGAGGGGTGAGGAAGGTGGGGAAGGGTCTTACCCAGTACTGGATGTCGTGGGGAGTGTGTTTGTGCTGACATCTGCCAGCACCCGCTCCCAGACCAGCAGGCGTGGAGCAGGGGCTTCCTGGCGGCTTCTGATGCAGCCGCCAGGGAGCTCGTCCCATCTCATCATGATCTGGGGAGATGCTCCCCCCTTGGTCGACGACTCGCTCGACGCACAGGCGTGCAGCACCAAAGGGAGCGTGGCAGCACCGGGGTCCAACCCCTTTCCACACTTGCCATCTCCTCGTGGCACAATCAAACGCCCCCCCCCCTCACACAAACCACACGTGCCTGTAGCACCAGGACGAGGGCCGGGTACTTGGTGCTGCAGTTGACCAGCAGGAGGCAGGCCAGGAGCTTGTCCATGGCGGTGTCGGTCCAGGGCCCCGCCCGCGAGATGTCGGTGGTGATGAGGGCGGAGGTGGTGCTGCCGTAGTACCAGTACCCCATCGCCCCGACCGTGCCGTACAGCAGTGCCATGACGCAGAAGGCGGCGGTGAGCAGGGCCGGGAAGCGGGAGGGGGCGGCCATGCCGGCGCGCAGCGCGGGCAGCGTGCTGTGCCCGGACAGGGAAACCGCGAAGATGCCGACAGCCTGGGGCAGCGTCCAGCGCGCCAGTGCGTGCCCCGGGGGCGGCTGAGAGGGGAGGGATCATTGGGGGGTTGGGTTAGGGCCGGGGGTGCTGGAGCGGGAAGGGCGTTTGGTGCGCCAGGTTGCAAAGGGGGGGAGAGGAGGGAGGGCACAACTGGGAAAGAGACACATGCGCAAATGACATGCAAGCCATACGGCCCCACGTCGGCGCGTGAACCCCCCGCCAGCCCCGGTCTCAACCCTCCAGCCAACCACCTGCGGCAGATCGTCTCGGGAGGGGTCCAGGACCAGGAGGGAGTAGACCACCGTCACCACGATGCACACGCTCAGCATGCCCAGCTTGGAAAGGATGGCCAGCCGGCTGAAGCCCCCCACGCTCAGCATGGGCACCAGCCAGAGGAGGCTGAGCGCGACGGCGGTGTGGACAGGGCTCAGGGCCAGGAGGCCTGGGTGGGGGCAAAGAGGCTAGGGTGAGGGCTCACGTATGCTTTGTGGGTGGTGGGAGGGGTTGCGCATGCAGGAAGAATCGGCGCCATGCATCGCCGGGCCGACTCGCCCTGATCCGCACGCACCATGGTTGTCCAGGAGGATGAGGAGCTGCTGCCAGGTCACCAGGAGGGCCATGCACGCCCCTGCACAACAATCGGACTGGCGGAGGTGTTAGAAAGCGGGGTAGAAAGGTCATGAGGTTTAGGCGTGTGTTGCTTAAGTCACCCATCACAATTGGAATGGAGAGATTCCATGGGGACTTGACATTCTTCCTCGGACCCATTCATGCAGGAGTACACCAGACCAAGCAGCACAAGGGATGCCTTGTAGAGAACTCACCTCCAAAAAGCTCCAGGAAAGCCACGACCGCCACCACCTTGCGGCCATGGATCCCCAGAGCATGTTTTCCTTCATGGTGAAGGGTGATGGGGGGTGATCACATTGCAGGGTCAGGCACAGAATCTTGGAGCTGTACGTTGAGACGAGGGCACTGCCAGACCGTTCCTGGCTACAGATGCACCACCTGGATGCGTCCTTTGATCCCTCCCAGGCAACACGCAGGAATGCGCAGGGGTGTTCTTCTGCCTCCCTTGTGCACAATGCCGCTCACACCCTCGTCCCTCACATTATCCCCTCACCAAGCTGCGGAAAGGACCGCGGAGCATCAACAGGCAGATACTGGAATGCAGCAACTATCAGGTGCCCTGATAGACAGAAGAGGGAGGAGAGCAGGAGCAAGGCCACACCAGCAATGTAGCCGCCAGCCCGGTAAGCGTAGGGCGTGGAGAGGAGGCCCAGCCCCACGAAAATGTTGATCTGGTTGCAGAGTACAGGAGTCTTGTCAGTATCTGCCCCACGATCCGTCACTGCACATGACGCGCGTAACCCTCCAGGCTTCTCACCACATTGAAAAGGGTCTGAGTAAAGGTCGCGCCCTCCCTCACTGGCTCCAGGTCCGGGATGCTGCCGCTCACGGAGGTCAGCAAGGGAATGGTGACCTCATCCATCCTTCAGAGAATGTGTTTCTATACTCCAGGGATGGTCACGCCCTTCTGCACAGCTAGAGCTGCACTTTGCTCGCCGTGGTGTTCGGCACTGCAAAGCCCCCGCGGGCACCCGCTCTCATTCAACTCGGTGTAACATGAAGAGAGGTTCTTTTACTTTCTCCAATGAAGCAAAAGGAATGAGGTGGAATTGGATGTTTGCTCAGGGCACTGCGGATGTTGTCGTAACCGGGGATTCGTCGCATGCCGCCGATCCGACACCCTGCTGACTGGGGCATGGTTAGTTTCTCCTCCTGCCTGATATATGGGACGGGGAGCCCTAGAGCGCAGCGATTAATTGTTGTATGTTTCCCATAACAAAAACATCCTTCCTCCTTCTCTTTTCCAGCATTATATCATTCGCAACCCGTCTCAACCCAGCAAGATTCATATTGAGGCTTTGATGACGTGAAGGCCTCCGCATGGCACCCGTGAACACGCCTAATGCACAGACGCTCAAGCTAAGACCCTCGACTTTATATCCATATTCTTCTTGAACCAAGCAAACATTATGATAATGCTTCGCAAGTAGGGCAGGCAAATAGTCAGTGTCCACTCCTCAGCAAGGCGGAACCAGCACAAGGTGTCCTCGCCATGCTGTCAACCGTGAGGTCGTCACTGAAGGAGACGTTTCATGATTCGTTGGCATCGCATTCCCCGACCCCTTCCGCGGGTGAGCACGAGATGTGGGCTGGTGGGTGGGCTGCACGGTGACAGTTTCTGCTGAACCATGGGTCCTCGGACCCTCCCGCAATTGGCCAGCTGGCATGCCGCTCCACGGCTCCCTTCCCCTTGCAGAAAGGCTGGTGCACACGCTGGGAGTGAACCACGAGTATCCACTGCACAAGTGGGTAGGGTCGCCGGTGCTGGCGTCGCGGCAGTGTGGCCTGTGACCGCTATTTTGGTCCTACCAGCACTGGAGCCATGCAGCTGCCACATGCAGCAACCCCTGCTCACCCTCCCTCAAACCCAATGACGACACAGGGCTGTATTTGATGGGGACTTGCACGCCGTGCGCCGCCTCTTGAAAGGAGTCGACCCACCCTTGGTCCAGTCATTGGATGCCCATGGCAACACTGTGTGTGGCGCAGAGAAGAACGGGGAGGGGGGGGATAGAGGGTGCTGTGCGCCCAGAAAGCACCCGACGGATCCCTGCCTGTGGTCCTGCACCCGTACCCGCCAAATCACCGCATTCGCTCCTCTCCCCTTGGCTCGCTCAGCCCCTGCACCTGGCCGTCATCCGGGGAAAGCGCGAGATTGTGGAGGCCTTGCTGGAGGCTGGGGCCTCGGTGGGCGCCAAGAACATAGCGCGCTGGAATGCTCTGGATGAGGCCATTGCCTTGGGCAATGGGGAGCTGGTGCACCTGCTCTTCCTGCAGCTGCGGAAGGAGTGGAAGCAAGAGAAAGCCCAGAAGAAGGAGCGGCTCCTGGAGGTCTTGAAGGAGCTCCCCGATTTCAGCATGAAGGTGGTTGGCTGGTGGGAGTTTGACATATTGGAGCCCGGAAGAGCCCTGGCTCAGATGAGCAGGATAGTGTTTGGCGGGGCTAGGAGTTGCGGGCGAAGGTGCCCTTGTCTTTGTAGCATGCATGGCTGCTTGGCGTGGGCTGCAGTCCCGGACGGTGAGCCTCAGCTTCCCAAGGCTCCACATCCGGGATCACCCCAGGACCCAGCTTGCACCTCACACCCTCGCCTCCTGCGCACTGTCGGAGTGCTGCCCTCCTTGCACCCGTGCTTGGCACGGAGTCCTTCAAGATTCACACACACACAAGTACCCCCCTCCCTCGCAGCTGAAATGGGACCTGGGTTCTGGCATGTTTGGCGTCATCCTGCGCCAGTTTGCGCCGGACGACACCTACACCATCACCAAGCTGGGCAGCCGGCTGCGCATCGATGGCAGCCTGATGGGGCTGGACCGTGGGGCCGGGGGCGTGCTGCCGCGCTGGAGGCGGGGCGCCTTCTCCCTCCTCATCGACGCGGAGCCCAGCCCGGCGCCGGTAAGGCCCCAGCGGTGATGGGGTGGTGTGCACGCGCACGTGCATTGACATGCGCGTGGGGTCCGAAACTGAGGGCTGGTGTGCCCTGTCCGAGGTCAGCTCAGTGCCGCGCATGCAGGGGCCTTTAGCGTCAGTGCAGGCACAGGCACAGGGCCTGTGGGATCTCCCCCCCTCTCCATACACCCAGCCGCCCGCGCCCGCGCAGACCTTCTTCGCCAACCACGAGAAGGCGCGGTACGTGGACCTCTACAAGGAGCGCAAGGAAAGGAGGAAGAACGTGGACCGCGAGGTGGCGCTGCTCATGGACCACGGTGGTGAAAAGGTGAAGATGAGGACGACGGCGTCCGACTTCAGGCCGGTCAAGACCTGGCTGCAGCGGCCTGCCACTGCCGTGGTGGATGGGTGGGACACGCAGGTCAGGGGCTTGGATGGGGTACAGGAGGGGTTGGGGATGGAGGATGGAGGGGGCATGTGTGTGTGTGTGTGTGTGAGGGGGGAATTGCACGTGACGTGCAAAGGCAAGCCTGCGCCAGCTGCGCCATGGTGCCTTGAGTCAGAGTCTGCGTCGCCCTGCACTTGTGGGGAAAGAAAACAGACCCAGACACCCAAGGATCCAGCTGCTCTGGCACTCAATCCCTGCAACAATCCACAGCTGGGGGCCGACATGCTGTTTGTTTTCTGGCTTGCATCCATACTCATCGACGTGCCCCCCTGTATGACCAGTATAGCTCTTGCGCCTCTTCACCAGCCGCACACGCGCTTCGCGGGCCCTCCACTCACAAGCACTCGCACACTCCTGCGCAGGTGTTTGAGTGGACGGGGAAGATGGCGGCGGTGTCGCGGCAAAAGGCTGCCGTCGAGATACCCGGGGCCAGCACCTTTGAGGCCTACCTGGCAATGGCCATGCCAGACGATGTCGTTGCGGAGACAGAGCTGGACCCCAGCTCCAAGCCGGAGAAGTCTCGGGTCTGGTTCAAACGAGCTGCGAGGGTGAGGTACTGGGGCGGCCGCATGGGGGTATGCTGGGACATGCTTCCGAGATTGCAGGGGGGCATGCTGTTTGCCAGCCACAGGAGCCCTCTGGGTATGTTTCCGTTAGCGCTCGTGGGTGCGTGCACTGCCGCAGTGACTTGCCGATGCCTTCCAGAACAGAACCTCCCCTCGGCTGCCGCTCCCCAGGCTCGTGGCGAGGAGGCCGGCTCACTGCCGGCTGGAGAGGCGAAGCTGCGCGAGATCACCACCCAGTGTTGGATGGCAAAGGTATGTCTTTAGAACGAAGTGGGAGTTGGACATCATGATGCAGGGGCGGCCCGGCAGCCTGTCATCACTGTGGATGGCCTGCGAACAATGCAGCACCCGGTATCTTGACCGCACGGCGCTCTCTTATGCACACCAATCATCGCTAACAGGACTTCCCGCTGACGCTGCGGCAACTGCTGCCGCTGCTGGAGGCGCTGGGCGAGGCCAACCAGCACGTGGAGAGGGCTGCAGAGTTCATGCACCGCTGGTCGGACCAAAACTTGTTCCCCGTCAAGGTCCAGGTAGGCCCGAGGGTGAGCCAGAGGGGAGGGACTCTTCATCTCCCAACAAAAGTGACCTACACCCCCTTGCGGGGTTCACTCTGCAGCCTGTCATTACTGCAGCAGGAGCAGCACTGACTGTACCTTTGGCAAGGAGACCATCGCGCACGACTCGCGCAGATTCGGTTGTTGCTGGCCTTCTCAACCCGCCCACCATTCTCAAATTCTGCTTCACAGATCCCGCTCATGTGGACTGTGTACCTCAGCATGCGCTTCAAGCAGTTTGAGCTGCTGGGAGCCGACCATCCAGCCCGGAATGCGGGCTATTTTCAGGTGAGAAGCCAGGCGGAATGTGCAGAATGTGACGTTGACCCCGAGCAACCCTGTGGTACTTCACGAATTCCAAGCATGCGGGCATGTCTGCGCACAGGTGCCGGCAGGGTACAAGGAAGTGACTGTGGCCGAGATTAAGGAGGCGCGAGAGAGTGAGAATCTGGAGGTGTGATTTGGAGAGGACGACTCCAAGAAATCCCTCGGATACGCAGACGTTGGGGAGCTCGACATGTGCTGCCTCAGTGTGACCGTTGTCATTGCAACTAACAGTCTCGATGGCACGAGCTGTGATCAGATTGTAGAGATAAATTAATACGATTGAGCAACGTTTCTTGAATGCCGAAGGCCCCTGGTCGAACGTTGGTCCGCAGGCGCGGCCCCGTGTGCAGCAACCCCCGGGGTCCGACGCTTCCGGGGGGAGATTGCTTTTGCGGCAGCAGCGTGTCTCGACCCCCACATACCGCCGACAGCCAGGGTTCACTGCACTTCAATGTCGGATAATGAATGTATAGTAGATTGCGCTCATTATGGCTTTTATGCGGTCCGGGGAATCGGTTATTACGCACGGTAACTCCGCACCCCTCGCCTTCTCCTTGCCTTCCCCGTCGGGGTTGGACCTTCCCTACCCCATGTCCTTTCCCTTCAACGCAATGCCTCCCTATCCTGTCAATGATATAACGGAGTATGGAATGGCGGGGTACCACCCCGATCTCCAAGCCGTGCTGGCGATGCAGGGGGCTGCGGCAATGGCTAATTGGCCCGCCCCAACCGGCGACCAACTGCTGGCCATGAGCCAGTTCCTCGCGGGTCCCAGGCTGCCCAACGCTGGCTCGAGTCGATCAAAGAAAAATGGACACGTGCCGGGGCCGGCGAGCAACCCACTGTACAAGGTGCGGGTCTGATGGTTTGGGGTTCGGGCAGCGCCCGCGGACCCGGTAGCGTGACGCACCTCAACGCCGACATCTTTTCTCCCCGCCCCTCCACCTCCCCGCCTTTACCCTATCATCCCACAGACTGAGCTTTGTAGAAGCTGGGAGGAGACTGGCTCGTGTCGGTACGGTTTCAAATGTCAGGTGACATTCCTCGGCCGTACTGCACCCCTGGGTCTGAACACGCCGGGGCATAAGGGACCCTTGAGAACGCGACACCTCGATGTCCTCTCAACATGCCCGTTCCACCCTCACCGCAGTTTGCCCATGGTCGCGGCGAGCTCCGTACGGTGCAGCGCCATCGCAAGTACAAGGTGGGACCCCAGGGGTGTGGCAGGCCACGTCGCTGATGAGGGTCCCTGCCTCCTGTCTGTGACACACATTCCCTCCCACTATGCTGCTGACTCCTTGTATGGACGCTCATCGCCTGAGAGGCATATGTCTGGACCATTTCGAGCATCCTCGGCGCCCACATTGATGTCTTCCCACAAACCCCTTTCCCCCCACCTCTCCCCGTCAGACTGAGGCATGCCGCAGCTATGCCGCCACCGGCCACTGCCCCTACGGCTCACGCTGCCGCTTCATCCACAAGTACGACGGCCCCCCCAGCACCGCCGGGGCAGGGACCATGTCTGCCGCCGTGGCGACGGCCGCCGCGGCCGCCGCCGCCGCGGCCGAGAAGGGCGGCCCCCCCGCCCGCCGCTCGCCACCCTCCTCGCCCAACGCGCCCGCGGCCCTGGCCTCCCTCCTAAACTCGCTGACCCTGACGGATCTGGGCGGCGGCGGCGCGAGTGTGCTGGGCAGCGGGCCCCTGCCCTCCCTGTCCTCCCCCTCCACTGAGCCCCCGCGGCAGCCTGAGCTTCGGGGAGCCGGGCCTCCGCTCGCTCCCCCCCGATGCCCCGGAGCTGGGCCTGGGGACGGGCCCGAGGTATGCCGCCGCCGCGGCGCCCTCCCCCCCGCCCCGGCCCCGGCCCCGGCGCCCGTCCACCGCCCCAGCGGCCAGCCGCAGACCGCCCGCTCGTCCCTGCCCATCCTGGGCCAGGAACCCACCGGGGGGCCCCAGCCCCCACACGCCCTGGGCCTGGCCTCGGCGCCAGGCACCCCCACGGGCGCGCACCTGGCAACGCGCGCCGTGCGCAGGCAGGGGTCCGAGTGCGACGAGGCCAGCCGCAGGCTGCCCATCTTTGCGCGCCTGGCCAAGGAGCAATGAGGGCCGATGGCCGGACGTGTCGATGGGCCGAGGCATGCGGGCGGGGCCGCCGCTCGTTCGTGCCTGACGGGAAGGAACGGAGCGTGTGTGTGTGGGTGGGGGGGGGGGAGGAGAGCCTTTTGCTCCCGAGAACCGACCGTCAGTTGACCCAGCGATCGCCTTCTCATTGTGCCCCTCCCTGGTCGCCCCCTCCTGTGTTGTCGGGAGCCACTCAGCCCGCCCCCACCCCTACGATCTCTCCCTGATACTCCCATTTTTCTTGCCAGATGTGCAGCCATGAGTCAGTGGCGCCATCCCTGCATGAACCCTAACCCCCTGCACAAGGCCCCAACCCCCCTCACAGCAATCCCCGGTCGTTCAGAGTGTTGCGTCAGGTCTTGGTGCCTGAGCCCCTGATGCCCTGTTCTGAGATGCTCAGTTTCCAGAAGGAATCGATCGCCCTTCCTTGCAACCCCACTTCCCCTCGAACACCCTGCACATGGGCAGATGCGCTTGACGCCCCACTTCCCACAAAAGTTACTGCCTCCATTCTTGCAGCCTCCTATTTTCGAGGATCTGCCCTCTTCGTAGGGTCCCTGATTTTTCAATCCCATAAAAGGGAGCCTTGAATGTCCCAACCGACCCCGGGCATCGAACAGTGTCCAAGGCTGTCCCCACTCTCTGCCTTTGCCAAGACTCGAGTATGCTCCATGAACTCCAAGAAACCCTCCTCTACCCTGTCTTTCTTACAACACACTCCCTAGCCGCCCTCTCCGTACTGTGCATCTCTGTGGTTCCCATGCGTGGCAGGGCCTGGCTTGCCTCAGATGAGGCTGCAGGCCCCCATGAACAGCCAAGGCCGCTGGGGTCCCTTCATCTACCCTTGTAAACAGATATGTCGAGCACACCGGTGGCTATGGCAATGCCCAGGATGAGGAAGGGGGCCACGATGACGAGGCCAAAGATGAGGGCAAGGGGATCCTGGAAGGAGGGTGGAGGGGCTAGCGCAGCCTTGGTTGGTCTGTACGAGAGCCCCATGCATCGCAGAGGTGGCTGGACGGGATGGAGGGATGCTCACCTTGGCAGGATTCTGGCCCTTGGACTCGGCAGCGCTCTTCCAGTACCTGAAAGGGATGGAGCATGGTAGTCCAGGATCAGCACTTCCGGCTCATGCCTCGGCACTGAGTGCTCCTCCCCTGCACACCTCAACTCAGCACAACTCCTCAGCGCATGCAACAACATTGGTTGTCTGAGAGCACAGCAGTGACCCTGTCACACCAACGTACTCATCCGGCTCGTTGTCACGCGTGATGGCCTTGCCTTCATCATCTGGACCTACAGCAAGTGAACGGCTTGATTGGAGATCATCATGAAAGGGAAGATCGCATGACCACCTGTCATTGCTCCGAAGGTCCCCCCTCATGCGCATGCGCAGGTTGGTCGCACCTCCCAGAGCCGCGGGGCGCGTTGCCGGCCTTCTGCATGTCCTGTGCACGCTGGAAGACTGAATGCCTAAGGGTCGACATGGGGAGGGGGGAGGGCAGGGCAGGCAGCAGCCACCTGTCCTGACGCCAAGGCCTCCAAGTCTCGAGGAGTGTATGCTCATCATTTTACAGGATGCCTGAGTGTCACAGGGGACTGCCATGAGACACTGCTTAGAAACAGGACGACATGGAATCCCCGCAGTATCGAGTGCGGTACCAGGGTGTCAACTCGACGGGAGCCTCGCATCGATACGAACAGCTTGACACCGCACCACTAACATTGTTACTCCGGATACTCCTACATGCTGTAGTTCAATTATTCGAAAGAGCTACCTGGTCGAGGGGCTGCACCTCTTCTCGTTGTGGGCGCCATGGCGACTCCAGTGGTGGAATCGCTGTTCATCACCTTGAAGCGCGGCATGGCAGGCGTGCGGCATCAACACGTGAGGATTGTGAAGGCTATCGGCCTGACATATCGGCAGCAGACTGTGGAGAGGACAAACACGCCAGCCATGCGAGGGGCCGTCGCCAAGGTGTGAGATGGAAGGGGTTGCGTGCACATACTATTTGTCCAGCGGTATGGAACTTATTAGGGAATTATGTCACTCAGACAACCACCTAGCCCTATGTTGTTCAGATCCCCCACCTCCTGACTCTGGAGACCAACCTACAACGAGCTGCGCGGCTTGCTGCTCAGGCAGAGGCGAGAAAACTCAGACCTCCTGTGATTGTTAAGCATGCTTGAATACTTGTGAGGCACTATCCTTGATCGTATTCTCCTTCCCAGTGGCTACTCAAACGAACCGCGTACTTCTTTGAACTTGATGAACAAGGGGACCAGAGGCAAGCAGGGGCTTCATGACTGCTAAGGTGTATGCACACCGATGTCACAGGGATGGAATGCACGGGCAGTCACAAGCCCCTCCAGGCTAAGCTTGCGCCTACTTGACTTCACTATATTGGGCGAGCTCGGCAATGATTCGCTGGATGTCGTTGCCGGAGAATCGTGACTCATCCTGCACATGGAAATTCATGGCAAGGATTGGGATGACTGCCAGGAAGGGGCGGTCCTGGCATTGAATGGACTCCCTAGGAAGGACTGTTTTGGCCATGCAGAACCTCTCAACACAGCCGTGCATAGTATTTGGATCCATCCCAACTGCTCAGCCAACTCGATGTCAGCAGTACACAATTACGTACATCTAGGGAGGGGATGAGCTTGAACACCTCATCGGGGGTCATGGGTTGTAGGTTGGTCATCAGGCCCAGCTCCTGCTCAGTGAAGTGATGCTGTGCTAGCAGCCTGTACACCGTGGCAAAGTTCAGAAGATGGGTGAGTAATCCTCTGGAGCAAGACTCTGTAGGCAAAGGACCTGAAGAGAGTGGCAAGATTGCACAGGAAAAGCTTGCTCTAGTCTCCCTTCACCCCACTCCCGCAACCCCTCACTCACTCTCTCATCTTCTGGAGAGCATCCTTGTTTCGACTCGTACAGAAGTGTTTCGCATACTCCATGGACTTCTCCATGAGAGCATTGGTCTGGTATTCCGGGTCTCTTTGCCGCATGTGCTCGAGGTACTTTTCAAACACCAGGTTCACTTCCGAGATGTTCAGGATCTTAGCATCCTTGAACACTGCAGCAATTGAATCGAAGGGAGTGAGATTGTATGCAGCATTGCTTCACGAGAAGCAAAGTGTACGCGCCGTGCAGCGCTGCTCACCAGCACTGTCGGTCGAGTTGTCGTCCGCCATCCCGTGCGTGGTAGCCTGGCAGTTTCCAAAAAGGACCTCCACTGAAGATTTACAATATCTAACTTCTTATCGGATTGAATAGGAAATCGGTACCAACGGGACGACTGACCGCGAAATGTGAGATTGGTTTCAACAAACTCTGCTACTTGTTTGTCACAGCACGGGGAGCACAAGTGGCCCTACGTGTGAGTAGCCACGAGTCCCTCCTCTAATACGTCAAAATCCAGGACAGGAGAAAGAGTTCAGTTTGTTGGTGCAAGGTCTGTTGATCTGCACTCAAAGCTACTCCCTTCTTCTTCATGTTGTGTATAACTCCCACCAGCCCCCGCAGAGCCTCCATGCACACCAGCGCAGCCGTCTCACCTGCCAAGCTCCCACCTCCAATACTTGCGCATTGATCGTTCCCTGCTAGAGATCACAAATGTCAAGTGTATGATCCCGGTAATCCTCAGGGTGGAGTCAACGACCAAGGTAGACAGCATTTCAGTGCAAGCATCTGGGCCCATGTGCGTCACGTGTCCCAACATCTCCGATAACCAATGCCCTTCACAGCCGACGACAAAGTGCCGCGGAATACTATCGCATGCAAGACACACGAAATTGATCCACGGGATGTCCAGGCGGCTCATCTCTCCATGCTAGCTCGGTTACTCCACGTCTGCCGGCCAGCACTGATCAGATCGCCACTTCCTTGGAATCCTAGCCATCCATCACTAATGTACGATGCAGCGGGTGGGTTCGTTATGAATTTGTCTCCAAAGGACATCCCGCTGCACCTCACTACTGTCACCACTGGACTTCACCCCAGGCCGTCCCGACGGGGCAGAAACGTCACAGCTTCAGCAGATGCCAAGAATGCGCCGCACAACATGGCCACATCCGACACACCGAAACGCCCGGAGCCCGAGCCGGAAGAGGCACCGGTGAGAACCGCCACCAAGAAGGCTCGCAAGCCACGCTCCCCCTCCCCCCTCCCCCACCTTTGTACGACGTTTCCATGCGCGCACCCGCCCTGCCCTCCACGGCTGCTGCCGCCACGATCCTGTGCTGGAACGTTGCAGGCCTGCGTGGCCTCCTCAAGAAGGTGGGATTGGGAGGAGGGTCGGGAGAGGAGGACCTACACCCATGTGTTTGGCCAGCTGCCGGGCCTGCTGGGCGCACCCGGTGACAACCAAAGAAAGCCACGCCCACCCCCCCCAGGACCCCACGGCCATCGCGTCGCTGATCGCCCGGGAGCAGCCGCACGTCCTGTGCCTGCAGGAGATCAAGCTGCAGACCAGTCACTGCGACGAGGAGCTGCACAACCTCCTGGCCCTCGATCCCGAGTGGCAGATCACTTGGAACTGCAGCACTGCCAAGAAGGGGTACTCCGGCACCGCCATCCTCACCAGGTCTTCTGGGAGGCTGTTGGGAGAGTGCACAGCCATATTCGGGTGAAGCAGAGAACGGGCAGCTGCCCATCGCCTCCCGTTGCACGTTGGGAGCAGGGCGGGCGCCGGGCCCCACATGCTGCACTGTGTCCTTCCCTCACACAAACCCTGGGTTCTTCAGCATGTCTGCTTGACACCATGAATGCACTGCTCTGCATCCGCTACGCCACAGGATCCCCCCCGTCAGCACGGTGTGTGGCATGGGCTCGCCCGGCCATGACGAAGAGGGTCGGGTGCTGGCGGCCGAGTTTGACACCTTCTACCTTGTCACCGTCTATGTCCCCAACAGGTTGAGCGGTGCCTGGGGTGGCACGGGGTCTGTGGCACCTGTCAGGCCCCAACGCACGTGTGCGCAGGGGTCTGTGTGGTAGTGGCAGGGGATGTATGGCCTTCCTCTGTGCACCCTGACATGCTGCCGGGGATTGAGTTGAAGACCGAGCGCTCACCTCCCAGCCCCACTCCCCCCTCCCTCGGCAGCGGGGAGGGACTGAAGCGACTGGAGTACCGAGTGGGCAGCTGGGATGAAGGTGGGGCCTGATACACTCAGGCGTGTAATCGCATGCCCATGACTCCCTGTATGTGGGGTTGACCTCGCAGTGTCTGCCATACCGATCAGTGATATGGCGCTCACAATCCTAAAGCCCTCCCTGACAATGAATTCCTCGCACTGTCCTCACAATCTGGTGCAGCCTTCTCGTCCTTCATCAAGAAACTTGAAGCACGGAAACCGGTGGTCGTGTGTGGGGACCTGAACTGTGCCAGGCAGAGCATTGACATCCATTCGCCCAAGACCAATCTGAGGAGCGCGGGATTCACCCAGGTAGGGGACCCCTCCGTCGACGCTTGGCACTTGCTCATCAGGACCCAATATGGAGTACAGGCCTGGCCACCATGTAGTTACGCCCTTCACACCTCACATTCACGACAAAACACACAACTCCAATCATTCACAATGTCTGCAGGAAGAGAGAGACTCCTTCCAGCAGCGATACATGGATGCTGGCTGGGTGGATGCCTTCCGGACCAGATATCCAGAGCACACCGGATACACCTACTGGTCCTACAGGTTCAACCTGCGAGCCCGGAACAAGGGGTGGAGACTGGACTACTTCCTGGTGAGTGGCAGGAGAGTAGTGAAGGGTGGGGTGGGTGTGAGGGTGCTGGTCTGTGTCCACAATGATGTTCACAGATGGCTGTGCCTCATGCTGTGATCGCATCCTTGCCCTGAAGGTCAGCGGCAGCCTGTGGCCGTCTGTCTACGATGTTTTCCATCTGCACGATGTTATGGGTTCAGACCATTGCCCCCTCGGTCTGACCGTCCGTCTCGACGAGGAAAAGGGAGGATGATAGCCATACGGGTCCGGTCTGCTCGGAATTCCCTCCATATAATAAGGCATTGTCCTTTTAAATCAGACCATCGCTGGGGCCATCATCGGGCCGACATGGGGCTGGGTTTAGGGCATGGTGGAATCCTCGTGCTTTTCCATCTTAACCAGCTTCGTGGCGTCTACCTGAACGCGAGGCGCACACAGCAGCACTGCACATTCCCCGGGAAAGTCTCCGGAACCATTTTCTGACCTGTCACCTCAGTCTCAAAAGAAGAAATTTCGTGTAGCAAGATATTCGGGTGCCATGGTGACAACTCGTGCTCGTGCCAAACGCGTGCGGAAAGGTGATGACACTGGTCAGTCAGATCCAGCAGCCAAGGCCATCGCCGAGAGATCGGGTGGGTCTCATGACTATCTTGAAATGTCGTGAGGGCTCCTTGGAGGATCACATGACCTGACGATGGCGAGCTGGTAGAGCCGAGCCGATGTCGACCTGTCCAATTGTGCATCTACCTGCTATAGGGTCCAGTGCAAATTCAGAGGGGAACGATGCTGGTAGCGGAGATCAGGGGCTTACCAAGGCATCCAGGCTTGATGGAGCAGGTAAATCTTGTCAGTAGGATATCGGCAATGCGGTGTAAAGTGGGTGGCTGGCGGCTAGGGTTTTACAAGTTGTGATCATGCCCCAACCTGTTGTCCATCCGTGGGATGACAGGCCCCCAGCATCCCAGTATACCACCGGCAGGAGGCAGCCCTGATGCAGACCTCCAGGAAAAGGTGGGCACTGATGTGGCTAGCGAAGAGCCTGCCGCAAAGCAGGCAAAGACCAGCCATCAAGGGGATGCATCGGAGTCGCGCTCCTCACCAGAGCACATCAGCCCCACTGGAGAGGACCAGAGCCAGGCTGAAAGTCCAAAAGGCACAACAAACAACAGCGGTTCTGGGGACGTGCTAGCTGACAGCAAAGATCCTGTAGAGTCTGGGAAAGTGTTCTTCTTCTATCGCCCAAGGGTGAGACTTTCGCGGATGAGATCCTGCTTCTGACCGGCAACGTAATTCTGGAAACCTGCTGCTTTGCAACACCACCCCATGCAATAAAATCAAACCCGTTCTATACTCACCGCCCCGCAGGTTGGTCTAGACCATGTTGGGAAACTTGAGGATGTGCAGAGGTTCTACCTCCTCCTGGAGCCTAGCCAGCCTGGGTCAAAGTCGAGGCTCATCGTGATTGGCAAGAAACGTCTGCCAGCCATCTTCAATCACGAGGTACCTCGTTTACCAATATGCTACCAGGCCCCTGGGAGCTAGAAGTTTGTCTTGATGATCAATGTGCTTGGATACCGGGCCTGCATGAGATTGCTTCGCATTGGGTAGTGAGCCTTGTAGACTGTGCATGTCCTGCACAGCTGGCCTGGCCGCCACCACCCCCCTCCCTGACACCCCAGAGGTATTTTGCATTTGTCGAGGCGGTGGCCGAAGACAAGGGGACACTGCTTCAGGTACTGCATGGTGTGGGAGCAGAGGCAGGATGCTTGGTCGGCAGAGTCTCCCGCGCTGATCACCACGATTGCCCTCCTTGTTGCCGCACAGGGCATGGGGGTCCAGCGGTACCAGACTACGACGATGGGGGAGAGGGTGGTGGGTGCCTGCCGGGCTGCAGGGGAGGGCGCCTACTCCATTCTGGAGCATGGCTCGGGCACCAACTTTGTGTACAGGTGAGCTGAGCAGGCCTGGGGGTGCATGCCAGCTCGTGACGCTCGTGTGGGGTTGGGGGAGGTCATTTCTTGTCCTTTGTGTGAGAAAACTGGATGCCTGTGGCATCGGTCGTGATTGTTGAGACAGCCAGCACTCCTGCTCAAACTCCCGACCAGGCTGGAGCTGCCTACTGAGCCCAGCGAAGCCCAGAGAATGTGTGGCATCGAGCTGGAGGGGTCCTTTGGGCTCAGCGTCAAGGTGAAGCCTGGTCAGGCATGCTGTGAGCATTCCTGGTGCGAGCTTGTGTTGGACAAGATGATCGCTGGCAGGAGCATGACAGGGAGCACAGCCGGGCTCGGTGCGAATTCCCAGTTCTCTTCCCTAAATGCCTCAGAACCCCAACAAGACCAGCAATCCAGCGGTGGGCCTGAGGGAGAAGGCTGATCTCCCAGAGGCACTGGAAGACGAGTTCCAGGGGTATGCCTGGATTGCTGCCAGGGACCCCAAGGTGGGGATCCATCTGCAGAGGGCTGTGGGTCCATGGCTCCTATCGTTGGTCGCACGCATCGCTTTCAGAAGCTCCATGTGGCACCAAACACCAGTCACTGGCCCCCATTATTGCAGCTTCTGGATTATGAGCGGGTCGAACTCTTGTTCGTGGGGGCGTCAAAGGACTTGGCAGCAGAGCTGGGTGAGTGTGTAGGTCAGTTTTTGCTGTACAGTCGAGGGGTGATGGGTCCACTCGGCACGCCCCGTGTGTAAATGAATTCGCCCTGCTGTGTGATCCTCCGACCTGATCCTCCTGTCTATCCTGTGGCCTGGCTAGGCTCTGCGGGGGCTCAGGTTGTGGAAGTGGCCAAGGCAGACGAGGGCAACCCAGAGGAGCTGAAGCGTGAGATACATGCCGAGGCACGCAGGGGCTGATGGTGAAAGGCAGATCCTCGTGGCACTCGGCAATGTCAGGCAAAGGTTATACCATCCAAACAACTCCACGTCATTCCACTGTGCAGGAGATTGGACTGCAGATTGAGCCTGCAGAGACAGGGGAAGTGGTGTGAGTGCAGTCCGGCTTCAGCACACCCCCCCATGAGGCTTCACGTGCACGTGCATGGCATGAGGTGTAAGAGCTACGACGGATGATGACCAAGTATATGTACGTCTGGTCGGAAAGTTCGCACGTTACAAGGACATCATGCCCGTGTCGCGGCAGGCCTTCGCGATGTGGGCGTTCGCCCTGCAGCTCCTCATGAGCGTCTCGGCAGATCTCGAGGGATCACTGGCTTACACATCCTCCAGACATGACAGCTATGTGGAAGAGCTCAAGGAGATTGTCTCCATTCCCTCAGTGTCTGCCCAATCCGCTCACCTTCCCGATCTATTGGAGGCAGCCGATTGGGTGAAGGAGCGTCTGCTGTCTGCTGGCCTGCAGGTGGGCGATGCCATCCAGCCATTCCCCCCCCCCCGTCCCCCAGCCGATCGGCAAGCACGACACATTGCATGACCCAACCCCTTCCCTGACACGCACTGAGCGCTCTGGCTTTGCTGGCACACTTCCCCCCCCTCCCACAGAATGTGGAGATCCTGCCCACTAAGGGACCTCGCCCTGTGGTATTCGGGCAGTACATCTCGCGTCCTGAGGCCCGCACCGTCCTGATCTACGGCCACTGTGAGGCAGCACAGGAGGGAACCTGGATGGAAACCTCGTGATCCCTCTGGCTCAGTTGTGCACCTGTTTGGAGGGGAGGGGGGCCAAATATGGGGGTACACGCCGCGGGCCCCCCCCCAAGGCGAGGCTTCAACCTCTGCGCTACGACCCCTCTTGGCCCCCGCCGTCCTGCAGATGACGTCCAGCCCCCGGAACCCCTCGACAAGTGGACCTCCGGGCCATTCGACCCCGAGGAGCGGGACGGCTTCCTGTACGGCCGCGGCGCGTCCGACGACAAGGGAGGCTTCCTGGCCGCCGTGCAGGCGAGCGGCCGGGTGGCGACCACACAGGATGCGGCGTGCCGGGGGCCAGTGCGGTGCATGCTGCTGTGATGTGCGTTGCGCCGAGCCATCACGACGTGGGCACTGCGACGCGCCGCAGGCGGTGGAGGCCGTGCTGCGCGGCGGCGGCGGGCTGCGGGCCCTGAATGTCAAGGTGCTGATCGAGGGGGAGGAGGAGGTCCTCAGCCCGCACCTGGAGGACTTCCTGGCCGCGCACGCCTCGCTCCTGGCCGCCGACTTTGCGCTGTCGGCCGACGGCGGCCAGGTGGGGGAGGGCCGCCCCTCCCTGACCCTGGGCTACCGCGGCGCGGCGGGGATCGAGGTCCAGGTCGGCGCACTGGCGCGCGACGTGCACTCCGGCATGTACGGCGGCGCAGTGCAGAACCCCGTGCGCGCGCTGGCCCAGCTCCTGGGCTCCATGTTCAACGCCGACGGCTCGGTGGCCGTGCGCGGCTTCTATGACAGGTGAGCGGCGGCGGCTGGGGCGGGGCACGCTCGTGGCAGTGCACCTCCGGGAACACACACACACACACACACACACACACACACACACACACACACACACACACCTACGCGCAGCTGCCACCCTTGCTTCCTGCCCCGATGCAACCCCTCCGTTCCACAGGGTGAGGCCCATTACACAGGCTGACAGGGACGACATCCTGGCCTACAACTACGACGAGGACGAGGAGCTGAAGGGCGGGGTGGGGGCCGTGGAGGCCTACGGCGAGGAGGGCTTCTCCTCACTGGAGCGCCTCTGGCTGCGGCCCACGCTGGAGATCGTCGGCTTTAAGGGTGGGTAAGGGCATGGGGGGTTGAACGCAGGGTTGAGGGTGGAGAGGTGAACGGGATCAAAGAATGCTGGTGGTCATCACGCAAGGCTAGAGTGGTGGAGTGGAATGTGTACCGCATGCATGTGTGGACATGCATGTGGAGGTATGGTTTTGTGGTCTACGCAGACCACCCCCACAGCCTGGATCATCCAGAACAGCAGTCCGGTGTATGTACACGGCGTTGCATGAGGTCAAGGGGGCCGTTCGATCTTGTATGCCCTGCAGCCACATCTGCTTTCAGTTTCACCCCTCCTTCTCTACAGCCCGGGCTTGCTTGCAACTCCATACTTCATGGCCCCCCCCCTCCTCCCTCCCCCTCCTCCTCCTTCCTCTCCTCCTCTGGTAGCGCTCAATCCCCTTCGCTTCTCTGAATCCCCTCCCCCTCCCCCCCAAAAATAAAAACAAAATGAACAGGTGGGCACACCGGGGAGGGCATGAAGACCATCGTCCCCGCCACCGCCGTAGCCAAGCTAGCCGCCCGCCTGGTGGCCGACCAGCGCCCGGGGGAGGTGGTGGCCCTGCTGGAGGCCCACATTGCGGCGCACCACCCGCCCGCCTGCAACGTGACGGTGCGCGAACTGGGCTTCGCGGCCAACCCCTACTCCCTGGACCGCGCCTCGCCCGTGCTGGCCACCGCAGCGGAGGTGCTGCGGGAGGTGCTGGGCGCGGCGCCCGTGCACGACCGGTGCGGGGCCACCATCCCCGCCCTCGCCGCGTTCCAGACACTGCTGGGAATCGACACCGTGCCCTTTGCCTTTGCGCTGCCGGGGGACGGGCCCCACGCGCCGGACGAGCGGGTGAAGCTGTCCATGTTCCACAAGGGGCGGGAGGCCTACGTGCGCCTGCTGCACCGGCTGGATGGGTGGGGGGAGAGCGGCCCGGGGGGGGCGGCGGAGGACAGGAGCGAGCTCTGACGCGACGCCCGCACCATCCACATGCGACCTCGCGCCCATGCCCAGTCCCGGCCCCAACCCTCTGTATGGTCTCTGGGTACACAAGACTGGTATCCATGCTATGCAAACTATGCTAGTCGTTCCAGCCGGGAGAGGCGGCGTGTCGGGGGAAACAGTATGACGGTGCGTTCATTGGCGCTGGCATAAATGTACAGTGGTCTGGGAAAACGTGCGTCGACACGACGATCCTGGCGGCCGTCGGGACGATTGGAATCGAAACAGCGAAGGCTGCGTGTTCACAACAAGCTCATGCCAGGTGCGTCCTCTGTTGCGGACGACAACCGCCGTCGTTTCGGGGAGTGGGCGAGGTCCTGCGCCTCTGCCGGACGCTGCAGGGCATCCACCTTCCGCACGTGCTGGATGTCTGCTGTGTCCAAGCTGTCCTCGTACACAGGCAACTTCACTTGCAGCCTGCTGCCCTGCCTTCGGGCCCTGAGGCCAGACGTCTGTGGACTGGAGCTGGGGGTTCGCCACGTGCTCTCGGACCTGCAGTCCACAAAGGAGAGAGGTTGAGAAGTGGGCGACGGGTCGCAATTCCTGAGTTGGGTCACAAGATCCGAAAAACAACACTAGCAAATTTGACTCCCTGTCTGCGCACCCTTCGCGTGCCGCAATGTCGTGCCGAAGGCGGGCAGCGTGAAGGGCGAAGTAGACGCGAGGATTGGTCAGTCCAGCGGGCCACCACGCGGAGACGCTGGAGAGCATCCCAACTCCCATCGCTCTGCAGTATGTGAAACGATAAGATGTCTCAAGCGCATGTGTGATGCTTGACGGGGCCGGCAGCACGTTTCCTCCGCTCGGGGAGGCCAAGGGTGTCGGAGCAGTACTGACAGAGACAGCAAGCCCCCACCACGCGCGGCGCGAGCGCCGAGCGATTGCTCACCTCTCTGAGCAGGCTTTGTTGTAGGAGGAAACTCCTCCGCAGGTGAGACAGTGCATGCAGCCGGGCTGTTGAGGGGTGTTCTGGCTAAAGCTCACGGACATAAGCTGGTCGGTGGAGGAAGGTGCAGAGGCTCCCGGCTAGGATGCCGCGAAGCTCTTGAGCTCAAGCAAATCAATCGAGATGCAAAGATGCCGGGTCAGGGCAACCAGGTGTGTCTAAGCTGAAACGCGGGCTGAACCTTGAATCGTGTAGGGCTTTGCCAGAACAATAGAGGTTCATGTCATTTTGACCCAGGAGGTGCAACAGGCCCCCCTCTGCATGGCGTTCTTTCGTGTTGAATGAGGTCTGTCGATACGAGTTGTTCGTCCGAGTGTCAACTTGGTCATGTCCCTTTTGGGGGACAAATCCTGCATCATTAAAGCCAGAATGTCAAGTCGCGTGTCGCTGCAAATCGACAACGAAGGCAAAACGCTGGCGCATTGGTATTGTTAAATGCAGCATACAGCGCGCAGACGTGCAGACCTGCTTGTGCTATGTGAGCCACACCAGAGCTTGGGACTATAAGCGGGACATCAGTGGGAGTTTGCGGGTGCCGGTGTCCACTGCAGCGTGTGGAACACCCCCGCCTTGATGAATTGCGGAAGAGTATTGCTGCCAGGTAGTGCAGTGGCTATGGATGGACATCGCAAACTGCTCATCATGAGAAGTGAATCATCAACAGTGAAACGAGTGATGTTGTCGACTGTCCATGCTTTGTGTCCTTCAACTTCTACATGAGATTGCGGTTACCAAAAGCAATCTGGGCATGTCGGGCGTTCCCCACACGCTCGGTCATGACCTTCAGTTGTAAGCAGGAGAGACCACTTATCTGCTATGCTGGCTGGTCCGCAAATGCTGAGAGTCCGCCAATGCTGAGAGTCCGCCAATGCTGAGAGTCAGCCGAGGGGAAGGGCAAGCCAGGTCAATTGTATCATGTGTTTACAGACCAGTCGATAGCAAGCTACCGGGGTTAAGATGCGATATCCCGAGGCCAACCTCATTCTTAGTTGGGGAGTACAATTGTGGTCTGCTCTGTGCTTGATTTTCTCCAAGGCCAATGGCACCCAGGATGTGTTCTCATAGGTTTGACTCGCCCAGGTACACTGAGGCACTGCATCGGCTGCACCTTCGCAGCATGCAAAGTATCCACAGTATAATAATATCATCATGCCGACACCAAGTCTGGGATCAGAGGATGCCTCATGAGATGCAGATCCTCCACCTGTGGTGAGGGAGAATCTGACTTGATCGGAGAAAAAACGATTCGAGGACCATGAGTGCGGCGTCGGTCCAGGGGCCACCGGCACGACACAGCCCGTCAAACATCACCACCGAACACCTCCGCTACGCAACGATGTCAAGTGACGCCCAAGAACTTGAAGGGGAGCCGCGTCAGCTTTCCATCGCTTGGTCAACTTCCCGAGGAAAGGTAGAACAGAATCTGAATTTCCGTCACGTGTCAGTTCGGTCAATTCTCGGGAGGCGTCCGGCAGGGATTTTGTGTGGTTGGCGTGGTGGAGCAACTATGTAATGTGTATTAGCGAAAGTCCGTGCAAACATTTGAGTGATTATAAACCTGTTAGCGCTCTTTAGTACTCTACCAGTATCGTTCGCTGCCACCATACTTTCCCGCGTGCTCTCTAGAACCTGCGTGTGCGCCGCACACCCGTCTCGGACAACCTCGATCTCGGCGCTTTAGAGCTGGAGAAGCTGGTAGACGGCGTTACGGGACCAACAGCGGACGTCCGCCTCGAGGGTAAGGGTGCTGACGGTGCAAGCTTCGTTGGGGGTGGTGCGCAGCCGTTCGTGCGACGCGTCCCATGCCCTCCAACGGGCTGGCGGGCGGGGCCCCTGGCGTGCGGCCCGTGATCTGCCCTGTCTCGCGTGACTTGAACAAGGCGGTCATGCTGGGCTGGGCGTCCCGCCCCCGGGAAGTCGAGTGTCACGAGGACGTGCCCCAGCTTCCCCCTCCTTCCCCATTCCTCACCCCCCCGCCCAATCTCCCTTCCACAGGCTCAGCCTCCCTCCCCAGCGCCAGGATGGTGCGCCAAGTGATCCGCGTGCCCTACTCCGAGGACCGGCCCCGCCTGACCAAGGCGGCCCCCAGCCTGGCGGGCACCCTCCCCTGCCCTATCCCCCGCTCTGCCATGCACCGGGTGCCCTCCCTCCTCTTCGACATGGACCTAGACCTGGAGCACAGCCACCTGGCCCGAGTGGCCACCCTGGATGAGACGGATCTGGCCTCCACACGCGCCGCCATCCTGGCAGCGCTGGAGCCCACCAGCGACGCCGAGTACATGGTGCTGCTGCACGTCCGCTTCGCGCGCGACGACGCGCTGCGCCGCGGTAGGGCCCTCACCCTGGCCTCCCTGGCCGAGGTTCTGCACCGGCTGGGGTACGGGGTGCGCATCCGCACCGCCAACGGCGGCGGGCGCTGCGGCGCCTGCCTGCGCAACCTGCGCCACTCCTTCCTGGCCGTGTCGCTGGCAGGGCCGGGGACGCCCTGTGACCTCATCGTCGACCCCGCCTTTCGCGAACAGTTCCAGATTGCGCACATGATGGAGCGATACAGGAGGGTCATGGCCATGGTGCCCGAGGAGGTGGTGCTCCCCCCCGCTCGTCTCGAGAAGGTGAGTGGTGGCAGTGTGTGTGTGTGTGTGTGGTGGTGGTGTGGGGGGGTGGGGATTGTGTAAGTGCCGTTCAGGGTGGACAATGGCATCTCTGGGTGACCTGGACAGCTCCCTATCGGCGCAAGATGGCGTGAATTCTTATGTATTCCCATGGCAAATTCCCCGTGACATGATCAGATCCTTGGCAACAAACCCCCCCCCCCCTTTATCCCCCGCAGCTGGTGGAGGTGCTGTGCGGCGAGATGCAGCGCGCCTTCAGCGAGAAGGACCTCTCCCTGCCCCCCTGGCGCGCCCTGGGCGCCATGCTCTCCAAGTGGCACCCCGGCCAGGGCAAGTCCAAGGACGTGGCAGTGCAGCCGCGGAGCAGGGGCGGGGGGGGGAGCGCCGCGTCTGACGCCCAGCGCCGTCTGATCCAGTCGCTGCAGCCCCAGGCAGACGCGCAGGACGCGGCTGCCGCGATTGACACGCCGGATGCGGGGGCCGTCCCGCCGTCCACCCGCGCAGACGGCTGCCCCGAGTGCGGCTCCCGCGCCTGCGCCACGCACGCCTGCCCGCCCTTGTTCCTGGGCCCGCGTGGCAACGTGGCTGCCGAGGAGGAGGAGCACCTGCTGGACGACCTGGAGGCCGGCGGGGAGGCAGAGGCGCTCCTGGGTTCGTCCCCGGGGGCCATCGCCACGCCCTCCTCGGCCAGCGACAGCGAGGGCGACTCCCCGCTGGTGCGCGCCCGCACGGCGCGGCCCACCCCCTCCCTCCACGTCAGCTGGGGCCTGGGCCTGGGCCTGGCCTCCTCCTGCAGCGGCAGCGCCCTGGGCGACGGCTCCCAGGCCTCCCGCAGCGCCCTCCAGGCGCAGTAGGTGCCTGGAGGGCAGCTGCGAGCCCGGCGGCGACCCGAAGGCGATGGCAAGCCCCTGCCTCGTCGCCATGCGGGGGTCCCTCCTCCCCCAACACCCAAAGACCCAGTCCATCTCCGAA